TTGCTAACAAATATAGGATCCCGATCAGAAAGAATAGAACGAGGAAATCCATTATTTCTAACCACCAAGTCACAGAACAAGTGAGCAACTGAAACAGCAGTATAAGAAGAAGACAAGTGACCAAAAAATGCAAATTTCGACAGCCTATCAATGATAACCATAATAGTAGTGTACCCTTTAGAAGAAGGCAGCCCAACTATGAAGTCCATTAAGAGGTCTTCAAAAACACCCTCAGGTAATTGAAGAGGCTGCAGTAGGCCTGCCATTTTTGAAGTTTCATACTTCACTTGCTGACATGTCAAGCAGCTACTAACAAAATGTTGTACATCCTTGCGCATTGTACTCCAAAAGAAATTTGTAGATAGTCGAAGAAAAGTGCGAGCCACACCAGCATGACCACCAATCAAGGAACTGTGAGCCTCCGAAAGCAAAGTGGGAATCAGAGATGAAGTGGGGCTAAGGAAATATCTCTTCTTATGAAATAAGATGCCATCTCGACAGTGCATATCAGGTAGGCTAGCAGGTTGATCACGTAGTTGCTGATGTAATTGAATTAAAACAGGATCCGAATCATTTTGTTGCTTAATAGTACCCAACAAATCAAATTGAGGCTCAGATAAGAGTGTTTGCAAGGCACCTTCATCAAACACACGTGAAAGAGCATCTGCAACTATATTAGTACGACCTGGCTTGTACTCAATGTGAAAAGAATATCCCATGAGTTTACACAAATACCTCTGCTGTTCAGGTGTGTGGATCGTTTGTGTCAGAAATTCCTTAATGCTCCGTTGGTCAGTTCTAATAATAAATTGAGATCCCAATAAGTATTGGCGCAACGCTTAACAGCTGAAGTGATAGCATATAATTCTCGGATGTATGTGGAAGCATTAGCCATACGATAACCCAATTTCTTACTAAAGTATGAAATGGGATGATCATGCTGCAAGAGAACAGCACCAATGCCCGAAATAGATGCATCTGTTTCTATGATAAATTTCTCTCCAAAATTAGGCAAACTCAGTACTGGAGTGTTTGCCATTGCTTCTTTCAATTTAATAAATGCTCCAGCAGCTTCAGACCAAACAAATGGTGTTGACCCTTTAAGTAGCTCAGTCAGTGGTAATGCCAAGGAAGCATAGCATCGGAAAAAACGTCGATAGTAGCCTGTAAGTCCCAAAAATCCCCTTAACTGTTTCAAATTCTTAGGAATAGGCCAATTTATCATGGCTGAAATTTTTTTGGGGTCTGCAACAACACCATTTTTGCCTACTACATGACCCAAATATTCAATCATTTCCAAACCAAAAGAGCACTTACTAAGCTTGACAAAAAATCTATTACGCAACAAACAATCCAAAGCTAACTCAAGATGCTGAGCATGCTCCTCCACCGATTTACTAAAGATTAATATGTCATAAAAAAATACAATTATAAACCTGCGAAGGAAGGGTTTAAAGAGATGATTCATAATTGCTTGAAATGTTGCTGGGGCATTAGTTAAGCCAAAAGGCATAACTAAGAATTCATAGTGGCCTTCATGTGTGCGGAATGCTGTCTTGGCCACATCGGATGGGAGAATGCGAATTTGATGATATCCAGCACGAAGGTCCAACTTGGAGAAGACTTATGAAGCACCTAATTCGTCCAAAAGCTCATCAATTGTGGGAATGAGAAATCGGCCTTTAATTGTAACAGAATTAAGAGCTTTGTAATCAATACAAAGACGCCATGAATTGTCTTATTTTTTGACAAGAAGAACTGGTGAAGAAAAGGGACTCTGGGAATGTTGGATGAAGCCAGCTTGTAACAAATCAGAAACCTGTTGCTCAATTTCAGATTTTTTATGATATGCATATCGATAAGGTTTAACATTGATGGGTTGCACCTTATCAATGAGATGAATAGAATGATCAAGGCCACGAAAAGGAGGTAATCCTTTAGGAAGAGAGAAAACCTGTTGGAACCGAACCAGAATTGGCCAAAGAGAAGGATGAACAGACCCTTCAAGAGCTGTAACTTCTTCCATGATAGTTGGGCTACCCACCGAATTGTCCTCCACAGTCTCATTCAACGGAGATGTTTACAACAGATTACAGCTACTGTGGAATTGGATCTTTGTGTGGTCCTCCTTAATACCAACCAAACAAATGGGTTTACCCTCCTAACAGAATTCCATTGACTTGTGAACATAATCGTGAGTGACTCGTCCCAACAATTCTAACCAAGGCATGCCAAGGACAACACTGAGGTTAGTGAGATCTAATACCCATAAGTCAACAAGGAAACAATGACCTTGTATCTTAAGTGGAACCTGCAAACATTTTTTATCAGCCACCAAAAATTCACCATTGCCCAAGAAAACTCTTATTCTTTGAACATGAACCATTGGCAACCCAAGTTGACTAGCCAATTGCCTCTGAATGAAATTATGTGTACTCCCTGAGTCTACCAAGACTGACACTTCTTCATCTTTAATATGAGTGACAAAAGACAAGGAACGTAGATGATCATGTGCAGATAAAGAGTGCAAAGAAGCATATCGAGATTCCTTACCACTGACATCAGCTTGCCAAATTATCTGTTCCTCCTTATCATCTGGATCAACCACATCTTCATTGCCAACAAACAGCATCAATTTGTTTCGGCACCGATGTTTAGACGTCCATTTTTCATCACAATAAAAACATATGCCCAATTCTCATTTTTTAAGCATCTCTGCTTGGGAAATCTTCTTGAAAGTGGAAGGTGCGGGTAAAGATAAAGGTAAATTCGGCTGAGCAGTGCTAGATGTAATTGGCAAAGGGTTTGTTGGTACCTCAGCAAGCGAAACAGCTTTAGGAAAAATTCGTTTCTGAACCGGTTGGAAAGACGCTTTCAGTTCTCCAAAATGGTCATCGTAGTCCAACACCAGTTGAATTGCTTGATGAAGAGAGATAGGTTCTCTCAATTGTACTGCGCTTCTTAATTCTGATTGTAACCCAGAGATGAAAAATTCATTAGGAGGTCATCATCAAGCCCTGGAACTTGATTAACCAATCCTTCAAATCGTTGAATGTAATCCCGTAATGTAGAAGTCTAGGTCAATTTGGATAGAACCCCTTTTAAACTCGTGTAACCAGAAACACCAAACCTTTGCCTCAAGGCCACCATAAAATCGTTCCAAGATGAAATAGTTCCGCTGGTAAACGTCCATTGGAACCATGCAGAAGCCATCCCTTCCATACGCAAACTAGCCAACGCCACCTTAGCTTCCTCTGGTATGTGTTTAAGATGAAAGAACAACTCCGCCTTAAAAATCCATATATTTGTATCGCTGCCATTAAAGGGAGGTATCTCCATTCGGATTCCTTTAAGTAAGGAACGCTAATCCACCATGTTGTGCTTCGTCGGAGGCTGAGAAGACGAAGAAACAGTACCGCCAAGAGAGTTGCAGTGAGGTGATTCTCATGAATGGCCGATAGCTGATAACACTGTTTCTTGTAACTGCTGCATCAGAGAAATCAAAAGAGCTATTTGCGAACAGGTATCAGCCGCTTGATTCCTAATTTCATCCAGATTGGAATCCATTTGTTGCTGAAAGGACACCAACTCTTCGGATAATTCGCGAACTCCCATGGTGAGTTCTAGAATGAAAGCACCACTATTAGGGTTATGGCCCTAATTAATAGAGAGAAAGAGACGATAGGAACTAAAAAGAATTGAGATTTTATTTCTGTAGTTTCATCTGATACAATGTTCTGTTTTATATACACAATTACACTACACCTATACCCTCTAATGTAACTAACCACATGCCATGTAACTAACTATTCCTCTTAGGTGGCAAAGTCTTCTAATGCCACTGGTCTTCTAGGTAGACGTTTGGATCTTCTCACTGGTGTAACACAGAGTGTCAGAGATTAATTATAGTTTATAGCATCACTTTACCCATTTTATCAAGCATTTGGGGTGCACTTGAAATCAATGGAAAGGAAGCATATCGTAGACGAAGGAACGAAGCAAAATAGAAATATATAACAATGTGAATTCCCAAAAATAGTTCAGACACAACACAGGCAACCAATATTCATAAAAATAATAAAACAATAGTGCATCCAATAGAAATTTCTACTTCATAAAACATATGTAACAACAGAAGAGCCAAACTTGCAATCCACACAGGAGGAAGTGCAAGGATTAACCTATCATAAACAAGAAAGAAACACTCACTTGAGAGATCAGAGATAGGATCTCGGGCCTGAAATTTCCTCAAGTCGAATAGAACACCAATCGGCATAGATAGGGTCCCGCAAACGCTGAAGTGGAGTTCGGAAGGCGAGGAGCATTGGGGTCACACGAAGATGTAGGTATCGAAAGAATTTCTCGCTGATTTAAAAGTCTCAGCTCTTGTTCATCACTTGAACTTGATAATCTTTTAAACTTAATGCATGCTTTGTTTTTATTTAATGTGCCTATAAATAAATATGATTGTTGTTTTAAAAACGAGAATTGAAAATAATCTACATCCTTTCTTTTTACTACTTATATAAGGTAGGTTATTTAATAATAACAACATAAAGAATACTTCATTTTTGTTCTAACCAGAAAAATATCAGGCTAAATAGGTAGTTCAGGTCATCTAATGAAAGTCCCTACTAGCCTTAAATCATTCTAGATTAAACTTGGACCGAAGGGTAGGTTCAAGAATCAATTTTTTTCCAAGACAGTATACTTATCCTTGCATAGAAGCACAAATCTGACCCACAAATACTGGTAAAACAGGTCAGCAATGCAAAGTCAAGTTAAATATTTAATCGCTAATATATATAAAAGATTTAGAGTGCAGTTCAGTATAGAATGTCAAGTAGTGCCAAATCCAAGACAGAATAATAATGTGATTTCTAAATTAAACTTCACTATGAGTGCGGAGGTTCAAATCAAACGTCTACGGTAGCACGGTATATCTGCTTAATATCAATAACTACACAGTTAACACAAAATTATAAAGATAATCCAAAAGGCTAATGGTTTGATGACTTGTGCGCCTCCAACATCAACCTAGTTTGATCCTTTATCAGTCGTGCACGTTTCGCAAACAATTCTAACTTTTTAGCTAGCAATGCACTCCACCCCACCTCCAACTCTTCCCTCTTTGATTCTCCCACTAATTCTAGTCTCCCCCTTATCACATTCTCATTCAACATACTACCATTGTTTATAAACCTAATCATTTCATTGAAAACCACATTTGTTTCAGGTTTTGAAATCTGTGAAGAAGTGGCAGAGTTACTATTACTATCTTCCTTTTCGGCAACTTCACTGGCCCAAATATTTTTAGATAATTCAAATAACCTATGCTCGTGAGGTTTATGTTTCTTCCCCTTTTCTACATTGTTGATAAACTTCTTCTTCAACCTTCGAATCTTCTTTTCTAATTGGAAAACGGAAGCATCCAGCTGAAGCGACCCCTTCACGAAACTGAAAAATTCATTGAGCTGCTTAAGCGGGTCCGAGCAAGTCTTGGAAGTGAACTCAATCATACCATTGAGAATCACAATCTCATCTTCTTCATTCCATATTCTATTAAAATGATTCTTCGAGTTATCACCTGATTATTTCCTATCCTCCTCAACCTCGTTATCGGAGTTCTCGGCTGCGGATCCCAACTCGAATTGCGAACAAAAAAAGATGTTAACAAGAACATCCTTTTCCTCTTCAGATGGAGAAGGTTTTTCTTCGTGTGACGAAATTTCATTTTGTAACAAACCAAACAACTTGGCAATAGAACTTGGTGTCATGCATGGACTAAATTCAATTGAGTGATAAGTAAGTATAGGATACCCAATAAGCACCTATGCTGAAGGATGCATGATAATGCATCAAGTACTGGTGTCTTAAAAACAGAGAATATTTGATTAAAGCATGAGAGCTAATGTATTTATGTGCATCATTGATACATAATCATGCATCCTTCAATGCTTGATTATGCACAGTGTAATATTACGTACATTGAAGGATCATGAAAGATGCATATAAACACATTAGCTCCCATGCTTTAATGAAGTATTCTCATTTTTTAGACAAGAAATACTTGATGCATAATCATGCATCATTCTATGCTTTTGTATTCATTGCATTATCATGCATGATTATGCATCCTTCATGCATAATCATGCATGATTATACATCGTTCATGCACAATGTAATATTTATGTGCATTAAAGAATGCATGATTATGCATGGGGTCTGTTACAGGCCCAGCGAATAAAGACGCAAGCCCAATCATGGGAAGCCCAATTGCAGACACCAACAAATCCAGTAGACCAGTTAGAAGGAAGGAGACTCCAATCTGGATGAAAGATTACGCTTGTAAATCACAAGGAAACAGGGGAAGCTAGTTAAGCGGTGGATTAGTTATAAGTTGACACGTAGGAGGGACGGTTGATTGTTGTACAGATACGTGTAACAGAATTGTGATTTGTGTAAAACCATTCATATAAATACATATTGAATGTAAATGAAGGGGCATTGATAATAATACAGAAGTTTTCCTTTTCCAAGTTCCTTCTAGCTCTCTTCTTCTCCTTCTTTCGATACGACTGTATCATCTGGTGCTTTCACTGAGTTCACAATGAAAGTTCAGGAACTTGCCGATGAATTGAGAACCGAATTCAAGTCGGAAATCAACACCACTCGTTCTGATCTCACTCAGAAGTTGGATCAGCTAACAGAATCTGTTCTGGGTTTGGATGCTCGACTCCGAGAATTCATCATGAAGACCCATAGTTCTACACCACCTAGTTCAAAGAATCACGGTTCCACTGCTGATTCAGGCGTTCCTCCTTTTCGTTTCGCCGAAACACCAGAGCAAAGAGTTTTGAAATCCATCAAGGTTGACATTCCCTTGTTTACGGGTTCGGACCCTAATAACTGGATTTTCAAGGCTGAAATGTTCTTCCAAATGCACAATGTTCCTCCATGCATGAAGGTTCAGCTTGCGGGTATGAAAATGGACGGGCAAGCATCACCTTGGTTTCAATGGATGTTTACTACAGGATTGATTTCTCAATGGGATGATTTTGCTGGTGCCTTACGCCAAAGGTTTGGAGCCTCAGCTTTTGTGGATCTCAAAGGATCCCTCTCCAAACTGTCCCAATCAGGTATTTTGATGGACTATATCCGAGACTTTGAATCTTTACTGAATCAGGTTCCAGGATTTAGTGATGATGTGTTAATGAGCTTCTTCATTTCGGGCCTTCAACCTGATCTTAGAGGAGCCATTCAGCTTCAATGGCCTAAATCCCTTCATCAGGCTATGCAATTGGCATATGCTTTAGATACTCATCATGAACAATTGCGTTCATCACTAGTTTCAAACCAAAAGAGAAATTCTTTTTCCTCTACCAGTAACCATACCCTATTGTCTAAAACACATTCTTCTTCCAATTTCACTACACCTACCCCACTAAATAACCCAACCAAACCTTTATCATCTAACTCTTCCACAGTACCTTTCAAAAAGCTCTCACCTGAAGAAATTGCCCGGAAAAGAGAACTTGGTCTATGTTTCACGTGTGAGGAAAGGTGGAATTCCAAACACAGGTGCAAAGCAAAAATGTTCCTTTTACTTGGTGAGATTGAGGATGACCAGCAAGAGTTGGAGGAAGAAATTCTTTGGTCCCCTACGGATGCTACTCCTGCAACCATTCCACCACCTACCTCAGAGGCTACTATGTTCTCATTGGCAAGCTCTTGTAATAATCGAGCCTTGATTCTGGATGCATGTGTTGGTGATCACAAGGTCAGTGTTTTGGTAGATTCTGGCAGCTCTCACAACTTCATCAATCGGGAGTTAGTTACCAAATTGCAGATTCCCATGAGTCATTCCAAGGGAATGAAAGTTTTTATGGGCAATGGAGAATTTTTATTTTGTGATAAAAGATGTAACATGGTTCCCTTGACAGTTCAGAACCATTCGTTTATGGTTGACTTATGGGTGTTAGACTTGCAGGATTTGAGTATCGTTCTGGGTATGACATGGTTGGCAGGTTTGGGTAGAGTGACCCATGATTATGTCACTCAATCCATGGAATTTTTCAAGGAGGGTACATGGATTAAGCTGCAAGGTGGCAATGCTCCCAGGGAGTTTTCCATTGATGTTAGTGTGGATCAAGCCTCTTGTTGCTTGCTGTCAACAACCATTCTTGCTTCACAGGAAGAGAAGCTGCAATCTGAATTGGAAGCTATTAGACAAACACTTAATCCAGTATTATGGAGTATTTTGCTGGAATGTAGGGCTGTTTTCCAATCCCCTCAAATCCTGCCTCCTTTTCGAGGAATGGAGCACTCAATTCATCTAATGGATGGAACTAAACCAGTTAATGTGAAACCTTATAGATTTCCTCACCATCAAAAATCTGAATTGGAGAGCCAAGTTTCTGATCTTCTTTCTGCAGGTTTTATACAGCATAGCAAGAGCCCGTTCTCTTCTCCTGTTTTGTTAGTAAAGAAGCAAGATGGTACCTGGCGCATGTGCATAGATTACAGAGCTTTGAATGCTTTGACAATTCCAGACAGATTTCCTATTCCCACCATTGATGAATTGCTAGATGAGTTATTGGGTGCTGCAGTGTTTAGCAAATTGGATCTTCGGGCTGGTTACCACCAAATACGGATGTCTCCTCAAGATGTTTCCAAAACAGCTTTTCGAACTCACGAAGGGCATTATGAGTTCCTTGTGATGCCTTTTGGGCTCACAAATGCTCCTGCAACCTTTCAATCAGCTATGAACCACATCTTTCGACCTTATTTGAGGAAATTTGTCATAGTATTTTTTGACGACATTCTTATATACAGTCCTTCATTTTCTGATCATGTCCAGCATTTAAGAATTGCTCTTCAATGTCTGCATCAACATAATTTCTTGGTCAAGTTAGGTAAGTGTGCCTTTGGAGTGGTTGAGATTTCATATTTGGGGCATATTGTTTGTGTTGATGGTGTTAAGGCAGACCCCAAGAAGGTAGCTGCAATGGTTGACTGGCCACAACCCAATTCTATTAAACAACTTCGGGCTTTCCTTGGGTTAACTGGCTATTATAGAAAGTTTGTCAATCACTATGCTGTCATTGCATCTCCACTTACTGATATCTTGAAATCGGATAAAGTGAATTGGACCCCTGCAGCAAATGAGGCTTTTTGCAAATTGAAATTGGCTATGAGCTCCACTCCTGTTTTAGCCTTACCAGATTTTTCTTCTCCATTCATTGTTGAGACCGATGCTTCTTGTGTAGGCATTGGAGCTGTGCTCCTTCAGTATAACAAGCCTATATCTTTTTTTAGCAAGAAGTTAGGCCTCCGATTGTCCAAAGCTTCTACATATGTTCGGGAATTATATGCCATCACTGAGGCAGTCAAAAAATGGCGGCACTATTTGCTTGGAGCTCATTTTCTGGTACGGACAGATCATCAAAGTATTAGGGAGTTGTTGTCCCAAACCATACAAACACCAGAACAACATAGGTATGTGCATAAACTCCTTGGTTATTCCTTTTCTATTGAGTATAAACCTGGTTCGTCCAATATAGTTGCTGATGCATTGTCAAGGCAGTTTGAGCCTACTGATGTTGGTTCTTTGTTGCCTTTGTATTCGGAGCCACAATTTGGAGTTCTCGATAGTATTAAATCTGAGAATCTGACAGATCCAGAGTTAATTAGTTTACACCAACAGTTGGCTAGTGGTGTTTTGGTTGATCCCTCCTTCTCTACAAAAGATGGCATTCTGTATCATAAAGGACGATTTTTTGTTGGATCCAAATCCAAATTGAAGGCTGAATTGATTGAGGAAGCTCATTCCACTCCTTTGGGGGGGCATGCTGGTTCCCTACGAACTTTCCTTCGCTTATCTGCTTCTTTCCATTGGCAGCATATGAGGAAGGATGTTACAAAATTTGTGCAACAATGCATCATTTGTCAACAAATAAAGACAAGTACTGCAACACCCTGGGGATTACTCCATCCATTACCTATACCCGAAGCCATATTTGAAGACCTTTCTTTAGACTTCATCACTGGCTTGCCTCCATCTCATGGTCTTTCTGTTGTTTTAGTTGTTGTGGATAGGTTATCAAAATATGCTCATTTCATTGGCTTGGGCCATTCCTTTACAGCAGCAATTGTAGCTAAGGCATTTTGTGAAAACATTGTCAAGCTTCATGGGTTCCCTCGTTCCTTGGTATCTGATAGGGACCCGATATTCATGAGCTCATTTTGGCAGAAGTTGTTTTCCCTGAGTGGCACCAAACTCAAGCACAGTTCTAGTTATCATCCACAGACGGATGGACAATCGGAGGTGACCAATCGCTACTTGGAACAATACTTACGGGCTTTTTGTGCAGAACAACATCACAGCTGGTCTTCTTTCCTCTGTTGGGCTGAACTTCATTATAACTCTTCAGTTCATTCTTCAATCGGAATGTCCCCATTCCAAGCGGTTTATGGGAGGGTACCTACCTCTATTCCTTTTTACCCTCGAGGACTATTC